CTTTTCCGTGTGACAGGGGTACTAAACTTACTATTTACAGTCAACTAATTTACTTCTCCCTATGGGCTCGAGCTGCCTTAGAACAAAATATTTTATTTTGTATACAATAATACTATTACCTTAATACAGTTAATATTCTAGTATAAACGCGGTAAAGGCAATAACTTTAGTATATATAAACACAAGCACAAACAACACACTTTCTATAATCACACAAACTTGTTATTCACCTTCCAGTGAAAACTAGAATATTACTTCGCATATTTACAAATGTCGACGCAACCGCACACGGATAACGACGAACAAGATGTCATTCTATCACGAAAAACCAAAGGAAAACAAAACCCCGACTGCAGCACTTGCGTCTTACATGACCAAGAAAGCCCGTAAATAAGTTGTTTCTCACCTGTCGATCGTATTCATACGTCCCACAATATCCGTGACGAAAACATTTGAACACAAACTTTAAGTCTCTCTCTGTCGAAAGACAGGTCTATCGATAATCGACCAGTGTCATCGTTAGCTAGTTGCCACACATGTCACTCAAACCGTAGCAGAACTTGTTCCGCGAATCCACGTAAATGCCGTAGTACCAAGCGAACACAAAAAACTACCCGAGACTGCGGTTACGACCAATAAACGACGGGAAGGATCAGAAGCGCACACACACACACGAGAGCAGCGGCAGCAGTGTGGGAGGCTTAAAGTCGTCGACCCATCTTTTGCTCGTGTGCGCCCCCTGCGGCGATGACTGGATATGTTTCGGTTCCCTTCCCTTGTGAAAGTCTCAGCGTTCCTTTTTAGACAGTCAGCAGCTCACACACAACGTAAATTTACCAGAATCGGAACCCGTACGAGGGAAGAAAACGTCGCAGCGGACCGATTCATTCGAAAAGTGTGGAGATCTGCGGGATTGCACGTAGTCCCGCGCTTACGGGGATAATCATAAATATAAAATTGGTACTTTCAACCTTGGTAGCACGTTGTATATTATGTTTATATTATATATGTAATAAATTGTACAATACTGCGCTTTTAAAACATATATTAATGTCGGATAAACGCTCATGAACTCCCCGCGCCGCTGGATAAGAAACGTTTTTTTCACGTCGATGCCCAGAAATCGTTCTTACGTAGTTGCGCTATGGACTTCCTTCTCCGACATTGTGACGTAACTACTCGGAGCGCTACGGCCTTCTCTCCTAGGAGGTGTTGGCTCTCCTCGTCTTCTCTTGTCCTCTCCTTCTCCCCTCATCCTCCTCCCTCTCCTCCTCCATCCTCCTCCTCCTCTCATTCTTCTCCTCCCCCTCCCTTCCTTCTCCCTCGTGACGTCACGCGTGAAGGTCGTTGCCTTCACTGTGAAGGTCGTGAGTAGTGACCTTCACGAGTCACCTTCGTGACGTCACTCCTCACTCTCGTAACGTCACGTGTGACGTCATTATGGGAAACGTCCCATAATGCAACGCGCGGTTACGAGTGACGTCACTCGTGACATAACGTGTAACGTCATTGTGGGAAACGCCCCATAATGCAACGCGCAATTACGGCGACGCCGATGGCGACGTCACTCAAGCCGGAAAAGGACACCTAAGAGCTGCGCTTTAAAAAAAACAAAAAACGGTCGGGTGCACCCGCGTGACTTCCGGCAATTCTCTCCTCTAGATTTCTCCCTCCACGATACACATCGTCCACATATCGCGGCCATGAGCTTCCGTGCTCATCTTTCGGTTTCGAGCAGTCGAGCTTTTTGGCTTCATTAAAAATGTACGTGACGGTTGCAAAACATTGATTGGGTTGTCTCTTGACACCTTATTAAATCGCCTGGTCGTGAAAGACTTTATCCGACATTCGCCGCGCGCTGCCTTATGTGATTTTCGGAAAATGTTTATTCGAAGGCTCACCAAAAAAGTTCATTTTCAAGTACTTCTAACCAGCATGTGCCACCAGGGACTGAAATTAATCAATACAACGGTTCGGTTACGGTTACCGTTTTTTCTTCAAATCGGTTTCGTTTCGGTTTTTTAGGGGTTTGGTTTTTACCGTTGCGGTTACCAGTTAGCCGCCTCTAAAAACCGCCCCCCCCCCCCCCCCCCCCCTCGATGTCTCTTTGAACGAGCAAATAATGAAAACATCCTGCCTACGACTAATTACTTATTAGCATAAATGAACTAATTGTTCACATTAATTGAATAGAAAAAAAAACTTTCGTTATCACCAGACGTTTGTTAACAACATACAGGGGCTTTTATTTCCGTAAAGCGCTCCATCTTTTTATAAAACTTCGTACTTGACAGCTGGGACAGTATATGTGCAAAAGCTGAGGAGCCAAAGGCGTGGAAATTGGCGAGATTCGCATGCTAATTTGCACCACCGTTATAATTACACCAAACCATTTACATCATCGTAATTTTAATAATAGTTATACAAAATGTGCACAAAAATTTTACAGAATATTTACCTCAAAATTTAAAACGTTTATGGGAATAAAATCACAAGCCATTCTTCATATCACATTTCGGAGGCCCATTTTCATAAATGATCTGCAAATAAACTCTTCCTCAGATCATTTAATGCACTGCAAAAAGATATGCATCGATAATTGAGGTCTGAATACATAAAAAATAGTTTTGTGCCTACTGTTCTCCTTCAGACATAAATCGTGAAATAAAACTTATTTATTAAATATTATCTACATTGCGCATAAGTATAAAAACAAAAATCTCCGTCACTTTTTTTTTTTTTTTTAGCTTTTCTAACATACCTTTTACTGAGTTGGAGTCACTTCCGACCGAAAGACATTGAGTAGTATATGACCTGCAGTCCAGAATAAGCCGGCTTCTCTTTGTCGTTTGAATTTGGTCGTAGCGTCGCACATTACCTTCAGGAAGGCACATTGGAGGCTTTTAATACTGGAAGTCGGGGCTGTATTATATAGGGACTAGAATCTGATGCTTTTTCAGTTCAGCGTCTAAATGCTGATGTCTTCCCTAAATGATCAATTCAGTCAAGCTGTTTCTCTTAGCGCCGTTATCATAACTTAACGCTCGTCTTTCCTCCGGGGTAGCAAATAAACTATTCTATTCCCGAGCAGATTATGAATGGACGAGGTTTCGCTCGCTAAAACGTCGTTCAGTCAAGTGAGTGCACCTCCCCACCAAAATAACCGGACTTTGCACATGATCGCGTATTCCAATAAAAAAATATTTCGGGAATAGGAAGGGCACATACTATGGAAGAGTTAAACAACCGAGAGCCATGAAGCTTTCACTTACCAGTTGCATACACTAATGAAGGAACGTACTCTGGCGCCCACCGTTGTCCGGCTAGCCGTTTTGTTAATTCTCCGTTGTTCACATCAGAACGGCGTCAAAGGCAGCTATTGGCCCTCAAAAGTCACGTGTGGGAAGCAGTCTCTCTTGTTTTGTTCAAATCGTCGCGGTCGCAGAGACCTCTGGCCACGGCAGAGCTGTCACCGCGAGAGCCTGAGCTCGGCGAACGTCTACCTCTATGGTTCTAGAAAAACCAATAAGAGCATCGAAGCGAAACATGTGACGGCGCACCGCGCGAGTTTCTCATTCCGCGGTGCGTTGTCACGTGCCTCGCTCCGGCTCTCTCATTGGCCCACCAGCCCAGTAGGGTCCAGCATTTGTCAGGTTAAAGGGACCCTGAAAGCATTTTTCAACTTGTTCCTCCTTAGCTTTCCTCCTCATTTCTAAAGCGAAATGAGAAATCACGTCGTCGTGAAGAGCTTGGGCACCGGTACGATGAACTTGTCATTCGCAAGTGATGATAAGTGCCATCGTGGCACTCATTCACCACGAACGCGAATTCAAATATTGGTCGGCGGATTGATGGTTGACGAGCGCTTACGTCCGAGTGACGCAGTGCTCGCGTCCAACGTTGCTCCCTCGCTTGGCTGGAAGAACTTCCGTTTCCCGTAGAAAGACATGCTTTACGTCACGGCGACGTGATTTCAAATGTTGGTGGCCGAGACCGGTCGGGTCGAGAAGCAAAGCAAACGTGAGCTTTCATCTTTTTTGTGCGCAAAACTGGAGGCAATAAAACGAAAACGGATTCCTGTTCCGGGTTCTACGAGCATTGAAGATTAATGGGGGTCTTCATTTGGAAAAAAGCTGGAAAATCATTTGATAGTCCTGTAAGCTGAAACGGAGCTAAGGAAGCATGCCGCCGGCGCCTGCGTCCACAACGGTGCCGTCCCAGCCTCCCCCCCCCCCCCCCCCCCCCCCCCCCGGTTTGCCATTGAGTTGAGTTGAGAAAACGTCTTTATTTAATGCCATACATAGCTACTCTTGCTCTAAAGCACCCGCAGCGGCACAAAAAAGAAAAAAAAAGATGAAAGCCGTTTACAAATCCCTGTAATGCCGAATTGGAGCGCAGCTCTTGAGGGGGAGTGAAGGGTACTGAGGGGGGTCACGTCACCTGCGGGTAGTCACGTGACCCCGGGGGGTCACGTGATCTCGGGGGAGGGGGGTCACGTGACCTCGGGGAAATCACGTGACTTCAGGGGGGTCACGTGACCTCGAGGGGGGGGGGTCACGTGACCTCGGGGGATCACGTGACCTCGGGGGGGGGGGGTCACGTGACCCCCCTCCCCCCCCCCCCCGGTTACGCCGACGCCGACGCCGACGCCGCTCAGGCTGGAAACGGGCCCCTAAGAGCTGCGCTCTAAAACACGCACAGTTGCGTTTGAGAGCGGCCGACGGCCGTTTCACTCTGGGGCGCTGCAAAACGTCGCCAAGCGCTCCAAACCGCGACCGTGCGATGAGGTTATTGAAGGGAGTTCGCAGTCACCGATGGGCCATCGCGGAAAGAGCCCCTCTGGTCCGCCGTGCATGTAGAAGAAGCTGCAGAGCTGATTCCGCAGGAGCCACACTGTAGGCGGCGGCTTGTCTTGTGGGATTACCCAGTCTTCAAAGGATTCTGTAATTCGGGTCGTTGTTGTTGTTGTTCTTTAACGAGTCTGAATTGTGTGTGCGCAGGTGACCGGCGTCGTGGGCAGAGCCGAGTCCCTGTCGTCCGTCTTCTTCCTGCTCTCCTTCCTGGCGTACAGCCGCTGCACCGATCGCTGGAGGAGGACCGGTGGGTGCTCCTCATGGGCCTTTAGTATCCTCGAAACGGAACTATGGAGTTAAGAGACCGAAACAAATATTGTTTAATAACTCTAAACTGCACCAGTTTTTTTTTTTTTTTTTTTTTTTTTTTTTTTTTAGGTTGCGCAGATTTTTTTTTTTTTTTTTTCTATAAAAGTCGTGAAAGCTAAACTGATGCGGTCTTATGGAGATGGGGACATCGTATAAGGGGGGCCAATCGTCACGATAAGTCGGTTAACTGACTCAAATATGTTGATTAACTTTTAAATTAGTGAACATTAGCATATGGTTGCATTTAGAAACTTGCTGCGCGTCATCGAAAAGCACTAAATCAGCAAATTTCAAGGTGAATTGGAGCGCGTTAGAAACGTGGTGACGCGCTGAAATGGCCTCTCGTGCAACAGCCTCAAAACTAATAAAACGCACCGCGCGTTTTCTTCTTTTTGTTCTCTCTCTCTTTTTCTAGGGCGCAGTTTTTATTTGTTTATTTCCGGCTTGAGCGGCGACACCGTCGCCGTAACCGCGCGTTGCATTATGGGACGTTTTCTATAATGACGTCACACGTGACGTCACGCGTGACGACACGAGGGCAAAATTTTCCCGCTAAATTTGGCGGGAACTTGTCCCGCTAAATTTAGCGGGAAAATTATACCCTCTTGACGTCTCACGTGACCTCCCCTCCGTACCCTCCTCAAGAGCTGCGCTTTAATTCGTTATTACAAAGAATTGTGAACGCCTTTCATTTTTTCCCCGTCTCTTATTATTCGTGTTTTTATACTGCCAGTTTCGCGCCTGTTTCACGAGTGGTAACTTTAGCGCGTTACTTCCCACGCGCTCCAAATCTTTCAAAAATCTGTTCAATTAGTCGTTCTCGATGACGCTCAACGAGTTTATAATTCGAATCATGTTTATTTTCCCTAATCAAATAAGATTAACAAATGTTAACTCTTAAGCAACTTCTTGTGACGATATACGGCCAGGGGGACTGTAGCATGTCCCCCTGCCCGTATAACTTACCTGCTAAACGCACCGCATTGGTGCACATTTCACTGTTTTTTTTTTTGTTTGTTTTTTTTATCATTCCGTAAAGCCTAAATAAAAAACACCATGTATATAATTGCGCGTAAACTGATCCAGTCGAGACATTTATTTTGCAGACCTTATTCAGTCCAGCCCTTTGCATGAGACAGCGTTCCCGTCTCGTAGGCAAAGTGATTCGAAAACAACAGCACAAGGCGAGATATTGGATGAATAGAGATAAGCCATTTTAACTGGGCGACAGCTTGCGCCACCTAGTCTTCAAAAAAAAAAAAAACATCTGGTTTCGATCATCTTGATAAGCCAGTGAAGCGCAGATTCTGTCGTGCACGCATGATTATTTGTTATGCCTGGGTACAGCTTTTGGAGTCTTTGGATGTCTTGCACGCAGACTCACGTACTCCCCGGGCAAAATTATCGAGACAAGTTTTTATTTATTCGGGATGCGCGACATCGTTACGTAACATGGGGAGCTGGGCTTCGCTACTTGGTAGGGTGCCTCCGCCTGCCGGCTGCTTCCGCTGACAGGGTGGAGACACCAATGGAGCGCCACAATATGGCGCCTGAGGTCACTATTAGCTTCACATTGGCTGTGAATCCTGTAGAGTCTGTGTGACAAAGTCGTGGTGCAAAAACGTTGTGTTTAGTGAAAGTTCTGGAAAGATAGACGCAATATGACGCCGATGAGAGCATCGCAAAGTTCGCCACAAGATGGCGGGTGTCTGCACCCTGTGAGCGGAGCGGCCGGCAAATGGAGGGACCCTACTACTTGGAAGCCAGCTGCATGTCACGAACCCAGGCTTCCTCGAGTCAGTCCAGCTGCTTCCACTACCGTTCACCTATATACCCCTCGATCGTGGCGCTTACTGGCAACGGTTGTGGATTGCACGGCCCGGCGTTTGATTCCCACTGCGCCGCTTGGCAATCGCCGCTAATTATGATTAATTATGATTAATTACTACCCAGCATCTTTCTATATATTTTACACACTTATATGCTTTGTCTGCTATGGGCTACGTGTGGTTTATATGGCCCAGGGATGGGCAGTATTTCAAATACAAGTATTTGAAATACGTATTTCAAATACTTTGTGTATTTTGGACTTGTATTTAATTACAAATTGGGTAATGTATTTGACGTGTGTATTAAAATACTAAAACGTGGGTATTTGAAATACAATTGTAATTAAATACAATTTTGTGGGTGAAAATACATCCCTCAAATTTATTGTCGCTCTCCAGAGCAGGAACAAAACTTCGTTCTGCACCGAATGCGCAGTGGCTCTCAATCAAGCACAAGCGTTTAGTGACTTTGTGATTACGGTGCTAGTCCAGGGCAAGAATTGTGACGAAATCGACGTTCACAGGCAGACTGGCTAAATAAGTGCCTGTGACAACTTGGGATGCTTTCCAGCCTGATTTCCATCCATATTTTTTCCTGGAACATTTTAATGCGCGGGTCGTCCAGATTTTCGTAACTGGTGCGAGTTTCAACAATAAAAACTTCTCTAGCTAGTGCTGCGCGTCTTGGTCGTCTCGGTTAGTTTGTTGGTCTACACCAAAATGTAATCGACAAAAAAAAAAAAGAAAAGCTGCTTGAAGCTCTGTACTTTTTTCACCTATTACGTCCCAGCTGATTGCATTTTTTTGCGATTATATTTCTATTACGTTACTAGAGCTTCGCACACTAACTCCCGAGTGCGCGATGCAAAATTAAAATGAGATACCCAGAAATGCGTTGGAGGTGCCCTGAAGTCGCTGACGCATATTTTGAGGAATGTATTTGGAAAAGTATTTGGAGGAGACCAAATACATTTGGTTGTATTTGTATCTTGTATTTAAATGCTTTTTTCATATGTAATTAGATCTGTAATTAATTACATTTCTGACGAAGTATTTTGTATTTGTATTTCGATACACATTTGCATGTATCTTGCCCATCCCTGATAAGGCCTATATGGCCTTGGCCAGCTTGTGGCAGCTTTTTGAGCGCTTGAGCGTAACGCGTTTCACGCAAAATCCAGCACATAAACGCATTCTGCGTCAAAAATAAGGATGTCCTTTTAACGACATACTTCTGAATTCGGACTTGATAGACCGTAAAGAAACTCCTATCGCTACTGCACGAGCCATTGATTTACCATTTTCCCCAACCAAAAATTATAATCTCTGTGAAGGCCTGTTCGCAAGCCTGGCGCGCGCACTTTCCACCGGATTGAAAGGAACAACACACAATTTCTCCTAAAGTCCCTCGATAAACTTTACACGTTCAAGTACCGCCAACCATCGTTGTAAAAACGCGCAAGACACGCGCCAGGAGCGAGTGCTCCGCTGCCATTCGCTTCCAAGGGCCGCTCATTGCAGTGCTGCGCCGCCATTTGCTTCCACGGGCCGCTCGAGCCACGGGCCTCGTGCACTGGCGCATTTCACGCTACTTGAAAGACGAGTGCAAACACATCGAGGGGCTTTAATTTCTCTGGCAGAGTGGCGTCCTCTGGCGGCCTGTGTCGCCCTGATGGTGCTGGCCACGCTGTCCAAGGAACAAGGCATCACCGTTGTGGCCGTCTGCGTTGTGTACGAGTTCTTGGTCGTCCAGGCGGTGAGTGCCACGCCCTCCTCCGGCCGCTGTCTTCACCCTCCCGAGGAACCAGGCTTTTGTTGCCGTAAATCACCGTCGCGGGGTTGCGCAATCTCCCTCGTAGCACGACGAAAATGACGAGGAAGTGCCATCCATTTTCATGTTCTTCCAGATCCGCCACGCCTGGGATAGAGTATACGGTGCTGAGTTGTACGTAGTTCAACTACTCTACGAAACATTTTTATTTCGGTAATTAGTTGTTTACTTTAATTACTCTTTCTGAGTAACTTCTACTCAAATTACAAATTACTTTTGAATTTTAGTGGTAGGTTTGTTTGTCAATAAACATTCCTGCACAAAAAATAGATAAGATGTTGGAAGATCAGCTGATATTTGCGAAGAGGGGGAAGCATGTGGCGTAGGCAGGGGTGTTGGAGTGGTTTGGAGGGTCCGAAACGCTCTACAATTTTTACGAGCCACCCACTTCAACAACCCTGCTAAGAGGCGCGGGGAGCGGACAGACGCGTCGCGAGTGAGTCCCAGTAAATGCGGGATTAACGCCGAAAACTGTCGTTTCTTTGTGTCTTGAAGCTCAAAGAGACTTGACGTATTTAAACATTTTAGTGAAAAACGGGAGACTGAGGTAATGACACACGACGACGAGGAAGAGAAGGAGAACGTCTCAAACCCAGCTAAACCTTTATTGAGGAAAGAACCCTTTATATAGGGTTGAAAAAAGAAGCAAGCAAAGGGAGCCCTTCTTCACATCACCTCTCTCCACAAAAGACACGACACCGGACCTCTAACAATGGGGACAAACCAACAAAAGAACTGACAGCACCAAAGATGACACATCATTGAAAAAAAACGCTGGGAAAATTACAGATTGCACTGGACCTTTCACTAAAAAAGTCCGCTATAAAACTACAAAAAAAAAATGTTAGCAATACCATTAGAGATTTAGAAATCGCTTGCATTCCGCATCTAAAGACAAAGAAGGCTTGTTCACTATGAATGCAGTGAACAAGCCTCCTTTGTCTTTAGATGCGGAATGCAAGCGATTTCTAAATCTCTAATGGTATTGCTAACATTTTTTTTTGTAGTTTTATAGCGGACTTTTTTAGTGAAAGGTCCAGTGCAATCTGTAATGTTCCCAGCGGTTTTTGTTTTCTTTCCTTTTTTTTAATGATGTGCCATTTTTGGTGCTGTCAGTTCTTTTTTGGGTTTGACCCCATTGTTAGAGGTCCGGCGTCGTGTCTTTGGTGGAGAGAGTTGGTGTCGTACCTTTTGTGGAGAGAGGTGATGTCAAGAAGGGTTCTCTCTCCTTTTTTCAACCCTATATAAAGGGTTCTTTCCACAATAAAGGTTTGGCTGGTGTTTGAGACGTTCTCCTTCTCTTCCTTGTCGTCGTCTGTCATTACCTCAGTCTCGGGTTTTTCACCAAAAATGTTTAATATACACCTGCTCCCTTGCGCCCTTACGTTCTGCTCATTAGACTTGACGTACTTAAAGAAAGGGCTGGTCCCCGCTTCTCCCCACCGTAGACACTCTCGCCCCCTACAGAAGGTGTACACACTGCAGCCTCACTCGTAGGAATGAACAAAATGCAGCACCCGCTCTGAAGCCCATCTGGTGTTCCCGTAATGTATGCTGTACTTGAAAGCTCGAGTGCTGAAAGGCAACGCAAAGGTGACCTCTCTGCGTTGCCTTTCCTCCCAGCGCTCAGCATTTGCAGGTGTTCCAACATCCGAAGATCGTTCGATAAGCTTGGTTATTCCCCCAACGTTTTCGCTAAAAAAACAACTGTATTGGGAATGACGAAATGAACCCCTGGAGAAGGGGAACAAGAGGGGCAAAGGACAAACACAAATCTCCAAACACAGCTAGGTGACTGGTGAGCGACCGAAAAAAATCCGCCTGGTCCGGGTATCAAACCCGGGACCTCTCCATTCATACTGGGAAGTACATAAAATAACATGGTAGTTAAGTACTATTTGTAGTCGGATTAGAAAACGTGTATTTTCCTTGAGATGCATTCTCTGAGGATGTACTTGTACTTTCCTAAAGTATTTTTGTGGTAATTTCTGAAGAAAGGAAAATTCCAGACTTGAAAGTACATTCCTCAAATTTGGAAACAAAAAACGGCGTATCGTCGTGTAAGAACGCGCTATCGTGTTTCGAGACGTCATCTGGTCATTTCTCTGGGTGAACTAATGGCGGCTATAACACCGATACAATTATGTGCCTTATAAGTGTATTGTGTTAAATATTTCATCGGCGATAGTAAAACAACTACTCTGCGGCGACTTCACTTTATCCAATATTTTCCGCCTATTGCCGAAAAAAAATGATGCTCCTTTAATTACCCCTGGAGCAGTGCATACCAGTCAAGATAAAGTTTAGAAAATTGTTTATGAAAGGGCATCATGAAAGATTACGTTAAAAATATTTGTACTTTACATTAGAAGTATGTTGTATGTATGGTACTTTACTTCACGTATATTGCACCCGGTGTACTTAGTATATACTTAAAGTACATAACCTGTAATTGACTTGGTACTATACTTCAAGTACTTTTTAGATGTACTCTATGCAACACTAAGTAAACAAGCAAACACTGTCTGTAAAATCGAGCTCAGGCAGTGCTAAACCTCAAAGTAGAAAGGATACATCCCCAGCAATTCATTGACAGGAAAACAAAAAGTACAAAACAATAATAACACAAAAGCAGAACCAGCTATTAAAGCATTTATGTGAAGACACAACACGCTTTATATTTGTCTAGCACAATTTCGCTAACGGATCAAACCATTTATGTACTTTCTTGTTTTTTATAAAAAAATAAAAAAGTAACTTCAAAGGTTTATGGTCTACTTTTTTATGGTAGTTAGTATTTTACTCAATTACTTTCCATTTGAGTAATCTCTACTCTAATCAAATTACTTTTGAGACCAATACTCAGTAACTTAATTACTTTTTTTTAGTAACTTGCACATGTGTGATACGGTGCCGCGTTTTCGTCTGGTGTACTTAGCGTCCTATCCGGCCCATGCATCAAGAATGGCTCCGAAGTGGTAACAAATGGACCTCACTAGAGCCGGAGTGTCGTGCTGTCGGATCTCGCAATCCTCGCTGTCGGTTCTAGAACTCCTGGTAAAAGACACGAGCCAACGCAGTCGTTGCTCTCGTCGCGGCGTCTCAACTTCTGACTGTCGAGGCTTCCGTAGAGTCAAGCTGGAACGCTAACCCGCTCGGGAAAAAACGCCTCCAACATCCACCACCACCGGTGCCGCGTGCCAGAGTCGCGGCCGGCGACGACATGACACTTGCGTCACGTCATCCAACAAAAATCGAAAAACCGTTTTTCTTTTTCTTTTTTGTACGCGGTAAACATATTGTTCGGAGACGGGTTCCAGCCACCATAATATTATCGCCTAGGTTATACCGAGGCTCTTCCGATTTGACCCTCGTCCTCTCCTTCGCGTCGCGGCGCTGGTCGTTTGGTTTACGCCGGGTTGGCCTTTTCTGAAGCACGTGTTTGTCGCTTCGCGAAAGACCACGCCGCACACTAAGAAAATTAGGAGGAACCGGTAGCAACGATGCGTTTTGCTCCCTTCTACCGACGCGCCCCCAAGCGGACAGAAGATGGGAGGAACGTTTTTCTCCTTTTCCGAGCAGACGGGAGGTAATTTCCGCCCTTCCGCCGCATCTTTCGTTTTTTGGGCACGTAGCACGCGTTGTTTAGTAAACGACGTAGGCCTGATTTAGCGTCAGCAGGAGCGAAGACCGCCTGTAATTGCGTCTGCCAGCCCAAACACGCCGAGCGCCTTATAGCTGCATTGACGTTTTTAGCACTAATTTTGTCGAACGAGCAAACGAAGCCGTTACAAACAGCGAGGTTCTGGAGTAGTGCCGGCAGTTCTACGTACACTATAGGCTAGTGGCCGTCTTCGCAACGCGCAACCCAACTCCGCAACGACTTGGCAACGGCAACGATGATATGGCAACTTTGCGACCAAGACAGGCAGGCTTTTCTGTCGTGTGCCTCCGCGTCTTCTGTGCTACTGCGTTCGGTCTGTTTTCTGTTACCGAGTGCCAACCGACGATCGCCGTGTTTTTTTGTTATCGCGTGTCACCAGCATCGTCATGGCAGTGTTGTGCGTTGTTAACGAAGATGGGATCGTCGCCGGTGTCATCATGTGTTTCCCGTACCAGTGGTGTAACAGCAAGGTTAGATAACGTTTACCGTCGCAGGTTGGCGCTCTGCTTTACATTAAGAAGAAAGGGGGGGGGGGGGGGGGGGGGGGTTGCAACGATTTTAAGGTTAAAAGAATTTCAATCTCATCATTTTTATGTTGTTTATCGTGTCCCGAAGGATAGAGAGAACATCTCCTTAATTAAAAAATGTCGCGATTCCGCTGCATAACCGTAAAGCAAAAGTCGAGCTTTTTCCCCCGCCTGCAGCCGCGAGTGGCAGCCGAAGGAACTACGGCGAGTAGCTTACGTGACCCCGCTCGGCTCCAAGCTGCAGCATAACGCCCGCTAATCCCGGCAGAGAGAGGGAGAGGGAGCGTCCTCCGACAGAGCACACGGGAAGCTACACGGCACCCCGATTTACGTCACTAGGAGGGGGACCAGGTGTGACTCTGGAGACTGGGAGTGAGTTGAGGGGTGCCAGAAATGCCAATATTTATATATATATATTTTTTTTTTACGCAACTAGGACATGCAGGCGAAATCGGGTTTCTCTTCTTTATTTCACAGTGTCAAAGGGCAACTTTCACAAATATTTTACCGAAGTCCGAAAATGGTTGCCCCCTTTAAATTGTTAGGGTGCAATCGATCGACCTGCGGGTAGTTAGGTTGGAACTGTGATCTGAGCTGTGGTTCCAATGGCGCGGGCCAGTGTAACTGTCGTCTGCTGTGGCCGGTTGTCCCTTCCACGAGAGAGATTGCGTTCTCGGGGAAAGGCTGAACAGGTTGTAAATATGATAGAAAGTGCGTGTATTTATATTATAAAT